TTTTTTATTTATTTATTTATAAGTAATTCCACTTTTTGTACGGTAAATAAAATTATATATCTTTCAGATTCTTTCCTGTGATTTCAGTCTTCTGTCAGCTTACAGAAATAATCCTAATAGTTACCTACTGACCTTTATGTTTATTGCTACAATGAAAGAGTTCTGTTGTATTACGTATGGTATTATTTTGATTATAGAAGGTGGCATTTTAATGACAGATGACAGGATTTAATTTTTGTTAGGCTGGCTGGTTTGAGAGCTCATAGTTTTACTGGTTATGGTCAGGCTGTTAACCAACAGAAGCACTGTTCTGACCTCTCAGCACTGACTTCCTGTGCATTATTGGCTTTCTGTGAATGTGTTGACAGGTACGTGAGGCACTGCAGGATACACCTGAGCAGGTGGAGGAATTTGTTTCTCTGCTAAACAAGTTCGAACAGCTGGGAGAAGGACACAAAGTTCCTCTGCTGTTCAGGAAGCTGCAGTGCATCCTGGGAAACCACACAGAACTCCTCAGAGACTTTGCTGCCTTCCTACATCCAGAGCAGGCACTGCAGTGTGGATTGGTGAGCAGGTGGAGAGGAGAGGGGGTGGAACAGATGGTGGACAGGTAGTGGGACAGGTGGACACGTGGAAGGACCTGTCAGCTCTTATTTGTTGTTTCTGTGCAGTTTGAGGAGCAGCAGGCCTTTGAACGCAGTCGGCGCTTTCTGCGACAGCTGGAGATCAGTTTTGGGGATAATCCATCACATTATCAAAGGATTATTAAAGCTCTGCAGACGGGACCAGATCTGGGTCCAACCAGCATTCAGGAGGTCTGGTGGTTCCACTCTTTCTTTTCCCCATCATACCAGTTGTTTCAATGCTAACGCCAGATGTTTCACTTCTTTCAGCTGAAAACCCAGATGGCAACTCTTCTAAAAGGCCACACCCACCTACAAACTGAATTCTGGGTATTTTTTGATGATCTCCGCCCACCTCCAGCTCACCCTGGGCAGTTTGAAGAAGCCCAATGGCCAGAGGACGGAGAGGGTGGAGAGGGCAGTGGTCAGGTGTCAGCTGGTGCAGCCACCGGGAGCTTTGAGGAGGTGACACTGCCAGAGCTTGAAGAGGAAGAGGAGGTTCATAAGATTCAACCAATTACCAGCCGGCGCCAAAGGAGGAAGATGAACTCCCACAGAAGCTACAAGGTCTGCAGAAAAGCTTGTTATCCAAACTTTTTTCCTTTTGTAAAGATGAAAATGAATGTAGACTGAAGTCTGGTTTAGCAGCAGCATCTTGGTGTGGGTTTATATTCTTTGTCAGTGTCAGGAAAGAGACTGGCCAAGTGAAGCTTCAACACAGTCTGCTGCATCTTTACATTGGTTTTGTGCACAGAGACCTGAGACCACGGTTGTTGTGGCTTGGCCCTGTAAATAAACTGAATTGAATTTGTCAGATTTGTCCTCGTCTCATCAAAGTGATGTTTCTTTCTGCTCTCTGTGCCACAGTAACAAGGTCGGTGTTTCTCACTTTCAGCTACCTGAACATTCTTTGGTTCATTTGCTGTGATCTTTAATCTAACCTGGTTTAGATTCAGATCCTTTTTTTTAACTAATTTTATATTTTATATTTTCAGTATATAGAACCAACATTACATCAACACCCAAACATTTCAGAAGTATTCAGAATATAAATCAGTTCAGTTTAGTTAATTTATACAGTGCTGAGTCACAACAACCGTCTCAGGTCTCTGCACACAAACAATCAGTCTAAAGAAGCAAGTTGTGTTGAACCTTCACTTTGTTACAGTCTCCATCCTGAGCAGCACAGTGGAGACAGTGGAGGGGAAAAACTCCTTTTAACAGGAAGAAACCTCCAGCAGAACCAGAACCAGGCTGTTTACCAGAGGCAGGCAGGAAAGAGACACAGAAGGACTCTCCGCCCACCTCCAGCTCACCTATAATCAAAATAATACAATACGTAATACAACAGAACTCTTTCATTGTAGCAATAAACATAAAGGTCAGGAGGTCTTCTTCTGGAAGAGACACAAAGATGTTATTGGTGTCTAAAACAGAGTTCTGGGGTCTCATTTATAAAGGATTGCGTGGAAACCATACTAAAAGTGAACGTACGGCCAAAAGGC